CCACTTACGTAATTTCAGTCACTCGATCGATGCCGGAAAGGTGGAATTGTCCCGGAGTTCCCCGGTAATTGCATTTTTCGTCAAATCGAAAGGGAGTAGAACTTTTTAGAGGGGAAACGCTGAATAGTACGCGTAACTAGATTCTGCGTGGTTACTGGAATTGTTTATTTCTCGGGGACGAGGATTCGTGAAATTTCGATCGAATGGTGCGAATCACCTTCGTTTTTATGAGAAGTCTCTGTGATTTCGTTAAGTTATTCTTCTTAATTCATCGCTGTTGGAATCGATTACTGTACGCGTTGAAAGTAAATAATTGATACATGAATAAAGTCTTTTAAGCTGAGGAATTGAATTGTTTGGAATTATTTATTTATCAGTCATCATTCGTATAGAGAGAATAAAAGACAACTATTATACTTTAGAGTGAGAGATATACAAATTTGATTGAATATTTAGAAAATTATTAGAGTTAAAACGTATTCATAACGAATACTGACTGAACAGTCAAATTGACTTTGAATTTTCTTTACAGAAATTCCAATACTGCTGCTGTTGAGAAGCAGACTTGATTTACAATTCAGTCTATTGCTAAATCAATTCTTGTAGTAATTTCTCATAGAATTATCTCTTATCTTTTCAAGAACTTTACCAAGAAGTAATCCGGAATTTTTACCTCTCTGGTATTTCTAGTGTTAAGCGGGCATCATATAATCGAAAAACCAGACGAGAACAAATGAAAACCAACCAATTAAACATTCCCTTCGCTAGTGGTCTTTTCTAAGACACCTAACGCTCTCTATGAAATCGTTGAACGCGGACGCATTACCGATGCGTTGCGTTCCCTTGTCAATGTTCGTCACCGGTCCCAAAGCGAGCGAGTAGAGAAATCGTCGCCGTTTTTCAATGGTTAATCCCGTTCTGTTCGGATCCACGGGAGAGAACGTAAATTCATAATCCGACCTCGGTGCGCCGTGAACAAAGAGACTCGAAAATTGGCGAAAGGCGGCGGACTCGTATCTCTTGGCCAGCGTTACTCAATCGTCGATCCCTGAGCAGGAAGTGCCCTTCCCTCCTCCCGTTGCTCACCCTTCCTCGGTTGTACCAGGCCACTCTACATTGTTACGTTCTCGAATTTATTTGACTTGGGGGGGATCGGTTCGCTCGACCGGCGTGGATCTCTCCTCTCGTTCGCCGGTACGGCGTTAACTGAAATCGTAACATAAATCCCGCTCTTTTCGAGCGCGGATCGTCGAAGCCGGCGCGAAGCGGTGTTTGCGCGGCGCTTTAATGCCGCAGTAAGTTACGCTCGCAAGACAGAACGTGACTTTATTCCGCCACGTCGCCGGCCTCGTGTACGCGCTTAACGAGCACGAGTTCGCGAGTCATGTACGCCGCGTCGCGGTTTTTTCGCGGGATCCACCTCCGTTTCCATTCGGTATCCTCGCCAAGTCGAATGTATATATGATACACACCTATAGACGGATATATACAGGGTGACCCATTTAAATGTAGTCGAGTAGCTTTGGAACTGTGTACCGATAATGCGCTGGGAACGTGTCGGAACGTTTGGTTTTTAATCCCTTGCTCTACGATTTGTTTTTCATGATCGATACAACTAGTTTGATGTTAATAATTTATTGGAATGAAAGAACAATTCTGGGAGTCTTCTTTGTATGTGTTTACTCTAAAGTATAGTTATTGGTAAGAGGGATAATAAAATTGTAGATGACGTGGAAGAACGTGACGGAATGTTTGGTGGTTTTTAAAATCTTGCTCTATGATTTATTTCTCAACTATAATCGATACGACTACTTTCTAGGAGTATTTTATGTATGTGTTTGTTGTAAAGTATAATTATTGATAACAAAAGAATAACGTTTAATTTGAAGTCACAAGAATTGAGTAATATTTATGTTGGTTACATTCTGTTTGAAATCTTCACCAGCAGTCTGACGCGTTATTATGAGGCAAGAGAGTAAGAGTATGCTCTCTGGTATGAGTAACTTTTTTGTGTACGATGTAAGGAATCTATGAAGGTTAATTTTGCACTTCTTTTATGGAATTTTTAATGCACTAGTCGATGTTACTGATTATTCTCTTTGCAAAAATACTAAGATATTTACAGCGAAAAATCAGTGGTTTACGAGATATCTTAATTCTAATTTTAAATGATGATACAGGCAGCGTTTACTATAGCTATCTTTTTAAGTATTGGTTATATTTAAATGGTCCACTATTTTCTAATGTTGAAACCATCAAACTTTTATCTAACACAGTTTTTGCATCTTCAATAGTTTCGAAGATATTGCGCGTTTGTTGAAATGGGTCACCCTATACGTGCATCCTTTCTATTTCTCAATATTTTCCTTTGATTTTATTTTTCTGTTCTTCTCTTTTTGCCACTGACGATTGGTTCGTCATTGCAGAAGCTGAACATGGCTACGCTTCGACGATGCCGATGCCCGATGATATGCGGACGGTCACAAAAAGGCCAAAGACGAAAAAATCCCAGGGCAGCAGGTTGGTATCGCTTATCTTTTTATCTATTTATAGATAGAATATTCATTAATGGTTTTTAATGTGTCTCTAAAGATCATTAACCCCTTATAGATGAGTTTTATTAAAAGTTTTATATGTTTTCTCAATGGACAACTGAATTATACATCGTTGTTGTAAATACAAAATCGAAGAAAATGTTATATACCACCTTTCTTGTGTTTTAATAATTATATTATTCGTTTGTAACTTCCAATTGTAAATATCTAAATTTGAAATCGCCAATATTTTCCCAATAGTTAAATTATATTTTCCCAAAGGGTTAAAAGATGATATAAGAATTAAATTAAAATCAGAATTGAAGTAAAACATATTTAATAACAGAATTTCATTGCATTTTATATCAATTATAAATGAATGAATTTTATTACTCAGTTTTAAATTGTTGATTATTAAACTGTAACTTCATATCAAAATTCGTTTAGTCATGTTTGGAAAAGATACACAGGTATTTACTTTTCATTGAATGTTATTTCATTGAAACATTATAATCCTTGAAACGTTAAAGAATTTTGTTTTGAACAATGCATGTTACACGCTTTCATTGTTTCAGTTACCTTTGCAGAATTATTTTCAGAATTCGTTTGGCCGCAAGTACACCGGAAAATTCAATAGGTCCGTTCCAACTCGATAAATGTTCACCGCGTTTTACAATTCGTATTTTTTTCCTTCGCATTCTACATGTCAAGTGTAGAACACAAGTGACTTGACAATTCCGCATTCAACTGCTATTTCAGTTACAATTTGACCACTCCCGAATCGATTTGTTTCACGCAGTAACCAGGATACGCGAGCGTGTAAATTGTCGCAATATGTGAAATAAAAAAAAAACAATGTACTAGATTAAACACACATCTAAACAATCGAACAATCGTTTGATCGTGTTTGTGTTCGCAAAGCGTGTTGAATTCAATTCGAAAGAAAAAACTGGCCTTTCTTTGTAGTATCATTTTGTATCATTCTTTCGTACGTTGCTATTGATTTTAAATTTAATTTTACTTCGCTTGTGAGTTTGCAGCGCGGTTGATAACATTTTAAACTCCTTTTTTATCGTCAACTATAAAAGGATTCATAAGCTCGAAAATTAATAAAAATATTTGTCCATTTCCAGGACTACTCATAACGAGTTGGAGAAAAATAGGTGAGTGCTCAATTTTTTTCATTAGTGCAATAATATTGCTCAATTATTATTAATTTTTTAATTCTGACGTACTTGGATACAAGCATTTACCGAGTAAGTTAATAACTTATATGTTCAGTTAAAATTAAGATAAACTTGGAGCAAATTGAATTTTACGCGATAATATAACAAACGTAACATGACAAACTATCGATACGAAAGTACAGTTCATACTTCCTTCGCTTTGTTGTATATTATAGGTATGAGAAATATGCAAGTCATATTACATTTATGTTTCATTGAAAACAGTGACGTAAAGAATAACCATTGAAGACGGCGTTACAAACAGTACCATCGTCGCGTGTCAGCAAGCTATTATCTGACCACAAAAATACCAATTTTAAAACTAACTTTTCCCTGTAAAAATTCGGAGGAAGTGATTCTTACAGAAATTAATATTTTCTAATAATAAGTGGATAATCATTTCTTACAAAAGGAAGAACTTACATTTTTGTTATTGTAAAACGGATTACTAATTTACCTTTTTATATTGTTTCATTTATTCGTTAACTCACAGAAACTAATAATTCATTTCATCAAGCAAACCGTGTAAGCAGATCACGTAAAAATGAAAATTTGATTAAATCTATAATTTAATTAACATTTTATTTACCGTACAATTATCAAATAACAATTTAATAATAATTAAATCATGTTACCCACAATGATTTGTTAAATCAGCATTTCAATTGTTATTCCGACTGAAAAGTTAATCAAGAAATTCTCGCTTGTTGATTATGAATCTCCAATAAACCGTTTAATAACTGCTGATGGATAATATGTTAACCTCTTGCCGTACGATTTATTCCTCAACTATGATCGACGCAACTACTTCGTCATTAATAATTTATTAAGAAAAAGAACAAAATTATAGGTATATTCTATATCAGTCTTTGCTTCAAAGTATAATCCATATAATCGATAACAGGAGAATAATATTTAATTTGAATTCAAATGAACCGAGTAATATTCATGCTGGTTAAATCCTATTTAACACTAAAACTGCCAGACAGGTCAAACTGAACCACTTCAGAATTTTTATTTAGCAAATATTCAAATCATGAAGGTGTTTTTGCAAAATATTTTATATAATGAAAATTTGTGCATTCGTACCAATACAAAACTAGTAGATCCTTCAAATCTCAAGAAACGTTATTCTAATTTCTATAAAAGATTGAAAATAACTCACTCCAATAGCTCTGTAGTTTTAGTATTACAATCTTTGCACGTCTGACACGTTATTGTAAGTCATGTGTACATCATACTAGAAATGACAATACAAATTTGTTATACTTCACTTGTCGTACTTTAAAAAGTACCATATTTTAAAAGATTATAAATATTAAATCTTATTATAATAAAAATAAATCAAATAAATATAGAACGTCGAATTCAACCGCTATAAATTACTTTAATTCATTTCCTTAAAAATAAATACAAGTTCACCCCCAACAACATTGAAAATAAATCGAGTGCAAAGGGTTAACATACAGCATTTATGCATTACAAAATTACAAACTCCGTGATCAATTATTCATTATCCCTGTCGTACCCCGTTATCCAAAGAGAAATGACCCATTGACCAATGAGCGACCACGGAATCGGGTCCATTGCTCTTTATAATCGCGTTGCCAGTCCCAGACGTCGCGACTGTAGAGAGGGAAACCGAACGCTGTAGTTGAAAGCCCATTTAACGGAGGTGACGAGACACGGTTCGCAGCTTCTCTATTTTTTCTCTCACCCTGACAAATGATGGTCCCCGGTTAGGCACGGTGTGTTAAATTGGAAGCAATTTACGGTTATCTCGCGTCGTTGTTCGCAATGTAGAAAGGACCCCGGCCCGTTAATTAACATGCGTGATACGTGTGATTAGACCGGGACCCTTTTATACATCGGGGGTCAGGAAAGTTCGAAATGGAGCGGAACAATGGCCGACGAGACGCTCGGTGGAACAGGTTTCCAAGGGTGCCTGCACTAACCCCGATTGTCGACGTGATTTATAAGTCGCGACCCGCTGCTGTTCTTATCCCTCCTTCCTCGGAGTGCATGAAAGAGAAACGGTTCACTAGATCGTAACGCGGGGGCGGCGGAAAATTTCGCCGCTCTCTCCTGGTCATTCATAACCCCGGGACAGGATGATACTGAAAGTCTATTCGCGGGGGACGTCTAAACAGTTAATAGATTTCGGTGATCCAAATTGTCCGGGATGTCTGGATATTTATGGCAGAGGCTATTTCCGGTGATTAGGTTAGTGGGTATTCATATTTTGCGAATGAAGGATTCTGGTTGGAAGGACAATTCGAGGAACTTGAAACTAGCGATGATGTGTATTTGATGATAAAAATAGAGATGGGGGTAGTTTTTATTTAATATCCTGTATGTGGATGTTGAATTTATGAGTAATTGTTCAGATCTGAAGAATTTTAATTTTAGTAATTGTTTGGATATTTTATTATAATAAATATTTTATACTTGATATTGCGAATTTTGAAGGGATGAAAGCAATTATTGAAGTTACGGTTGATAAATATGTTTCATTTAATACTTCAGAAATTCTTGGCGGTCGTAGAATTTTTAAGTGCACAGGCTTTGGATATTTTTAAGAGAAGAATTTCTGCGTGTAAGTAGATTAAGAAAAATAGTAGCAAGATATTTTTATATCTTGTCATTAATCTTGTCATTATGTGTTATATCGATGTCATTTCATCGTTGTAATAAATATTATGCAAATTTAATGCCGATGGGTTTAAAATCATTAAACGAACTTTAGTAGCTAAATGAATTTTTGTATAAAATAAGAAGGGTAAAATAGGAAACATTAAAAACATGGAAACTAAAATAGTTGTGCACGTGAAAGAAATGGAAAAAGATTTTTCTATCATATTTTTACAAATATTTTACTGTAGAGTGCTAGCCTTCGCAGTGAAATGATAATGGTAAATTTCGAATAGAATTTCGAGTAATTTTCATCTCCGTTGATGGTGTTCGCGTAAAGGTGTCTACATTATTAGAATATAAATTACCGCTATGCAATACGCGATTAATTCAGCGGAAATTACAATATGATGTGCGACGCAGCTCTGTATGAGAAAGTAGGTTGTGACGTAATGTCCCCGCAGGTATAGTGATGGCGGTACGATGTAATGTAACGGGAGGTATAATATTAGAAGCTCATATTTCGCCTGAAAATAAGAGATAAAAAATGGTCACATTATTCGTGATATCATGCTACAGTCATTTTATTAATGATACGGTGATTAGGTGTCGAAATTGAAGAAAAAAATGTTACCAAATCGAGTTTCAGACTGTTACGCCACTTACTTAAAATTAATCTTCAAATCATCCTCCCAAATTTTGTTTTTATTCTCCAACGAATATTCGTTTCCTTAATTTATTTCGTTGACGTGATTTGTTTGTTATCAGAATAGAGTCGTTCCACCATAAGCCTTCATCGCAAATATCGTTGTTTGTTTCATAACAAATATATCAAAGATTTTCTTGGCAGGAATTAAGTTTAACTGCATAAGCAATAAACTTTCTCATGAATTGGAAATGACCCAGCTCCGCCTTTTATTTGACAGGCATTCCTCTTCCCGACAGTTAATCTTTGCGTTAGGACATCGCTCACTCGGTAACATCAATCTTTCCGTGCACCCAGATATATTGTTACAAAACTGGGATTATATAATAATAATACAAAACGAGTCACTTAAAACAATCATCCATAATATTTCCATTGCTTTCAACGGCACGAAACAATTTACAAAGAAAAATATTCGTTTCATTGATACTAGGTCTAGAATTCAGAAGATTTTCTTTTAAAATCACATTTTCCAAGATTCTCAAGTTCTCTCTATATAAAAGGGTATGCTGTATCCTTAAAACTGTATCATTGTAGCTAAATGTCCAATTGTCCACTTTGAAGAGGTGAAAACACCTTTCAAAGAGTTGAAAGTATATTTTTTACAATATCTCTAAAACTAGGGGGTGTACGAAAAAATTGTTTTTTAAATTGTTCACCTCGAAATGAACAATTTAGATTTCTTCCACATACCGTTTCAGAGATATTGTAAAAAGTATACTTTCAATCCTCAAATTTTCAAAGTTGTTTTCACCCTCCAAGAATGTTGACCAGTAAGAAAAAATACAAGCCGAATATTGTCTCAAGAACTACGTCCCACATCAGTTTCATCTAAATCTTCGTGTACTGGCTGAAAAGGCCCTTGTTAGCAACCATACAAACAAACTAACACCCAAAACCGAAACCCACACTGCAATCCGCAAGTAACCCTCACATTCCTAGATTTCCCGTAGCAAGTATCTCTATCACAAGGAGTTAAATTTCCAAAGTTCGCCCTCTAAACAGAAACCCGACCCTCGTCGCGCAGACACTTAGCAAATCCGTGGCGATCATTCAAACGCTGAATTCGCGGGTCCAAGTGAACCAAAGACGCCACCGACGACCGTATCCGTATCGTCCGTCTCGGATTAGAACCGTGGCAGCGCGAGGCGTGCGAGTCAGCTCGGAACTCCGTCAGCCCGTCGGAATCAAAGGGGGAGCAAACATTGGAAACAGTCGAAGTTAGCCGACAAAGAGGAAGGAACAGTTTAAGGGATAGCGTCCATTAGCCCAATCGAGCATCCTGAGCCCGTCGAAATTTCGGAGGGGGTGGTCTTTGGGGGTGAGTTTGGATCGGCGCGCATCGATTCGGATCAAAGGGAACATTTGATCCTGTAATCCGCGTGGCCCCGTCCTCCCGAGCGCGTAGCGGCAGGATCGTGGGCTAGGGTCGACCCTGTCGGCGGTTCGTTATCGACAAAGACGCGAAATTCACGTTTCATTTGCGAATTTATTTTTACACGGGCTCCTGGACGGCCGGTGTAAAAAGCGAGCCTGTGTGCGCGACCGATCCAAAGGTTAGCGATGCGTGTTTCGTCGCTGCTAACGGATTCGTAGGCTG